AGGCGCGCGGCCTCCGGGAGCTGGGTGCCCACGTGTCTCTGGTACACGCGAACTAAGGGTCTGTCCAGTTTCTCTCGAGTCTCCAGGTGAGTTTTCAACAGAGGACCCTGGCGAGGTGCAGTGTGCGGAGAAGTGAGGCCCTGTCTACGTGGGCATCCCCGCCTCCTCCCCGCAGACCCTTCCCCTGAACCGTACCTTGATGAGGCCGCGGGTGATGTACATCTCCTGGTTGAATTTCCTGCACCGGTGGATAGTGCCCCTCATTAGTCCTAAGGTCATGTTCATTTTTTCCTGGGTGGGTGGGAGCGCAGGGGGATCACGTTGGCTCCCCGTCCGCTCTCTTCCTGTGTCCCCTTTCCCCAGCCTTGTACTCTCCCAGCCTAGCCCCAGGCCACCACCTTGGAGTTGCCCCGGTGCGCACCTTCAGCTCCGAGGTCTCGCGCATCTTTTGGGTCAGCGAGGCGCACACGCGGTCGCTTATCTGCAGCTGTTGCTCCCGGATGTCCTCCTCGTTCTTTGCCAGCTCTTGCAAGATGTCCTTGGACTCCATCAGCAGTCGCTTGGCTTCGTACAGCACCGTGGCGCACTCTGCAGGAAGGTGGGGTGGGCGTGGGGTGCCAAGCCCTCCCTCCCTGACCCTGGCTCTCTGTGTCCCTCTCTCTACTGTCACCTGGTGGTGGGCCTTGGGCGAGGGGGCTCTACTGAGGGCCTGGGAGAAAGTCCAGGGGAGGGGCTGTTAGTGGAGTGACTGAGAGAGTGTGGGAGGCAGGAGTGTGCAGGGTGAAGAGCTATTCCAGAACGTGGGCTCAGCTGGAGTCTGCCGTCTGGCTCTCAGCCCTCTCATTTGGTTTAGGGGGACAATTCTCCAGGAAAAGGGGCAGCTGAGAAGTGGAGTGGAGCAGGTGGGCATCCCCTATAGTGGACTCCTTTCTGTGGGGCCCTACCTGGTGTATACGTGCCCACTGGGTCTGGAGGCGGAGTTTTCTGACCCTGAGTGCTGGGGGATTGGACGTGGGAGAGGTTCACCCAGGAGTGGCGGCCGGCGAGCTCCAGAACCTTGTCCAGTGGCTTGTTCATTAAGTCCACAGCTTGGAGCCTCTCCTTGCAACAGAAGTCCAGAGTGTCCCGGCAGGAGGCCAGGGTCTAGGGGCAAGGAATGAGAGCCGCGAGAAAAGGCAGGAAGTGTGCTGGGAGGGTGGGGGATGGTAGCTGGACTTGATTTTTCTGCTGGGGGCTGCAAAGCGTTTCTGCTTCTGAACTGACCCTCTCCAGTTCTAGTTGCGGCTGAAAAGAAGCAACTTCCAAGTCGAAGTCCAGACACCCCACCTTCTCACCCTCCGTCCAGAAGCCTTCAATGAACCCTGGAAGTGGGGAAGGGAGGAGCAGTAGGGTCTGTCCGCAGCTTCCCTGTCCTGAGTGTCATTTGCTTAGGTTCTGTGTCTGGCTTTGCCCTGGCACCCTGAAAAAGCCCTTCCCCCATCGATGTCCCCAACGTCGAGGCAGCCTTTTCCTCCTCAACTTGCACTCACCCCACCCCTAGCCTCAGTGTCTCCCTTCCTCTTCTCAAATCAGTATCAGGAGCCCTCTGTAGTCCTCAGAGCCCCTCTCCTGGGATCTACTGCATCTGGACCCTCACCCCCATCCAAATCCTACTTCCACCATTATAAAATAAAGGATGCATATATACATATATAGTCAGTCTTAAAAAAGAAAATCCTGGCATTTGTGACAACATGGATGAAATAAGCCAGATGCAGAAAGACCAGTGCTACATGATCTTACTTATATATGGAATCTAACATAGTCAAGCTTATAGAAGCCAGGAGTAGAATGGTGGTTGCCAGGGGCTGGAGGAGAGAGAAATGGGGAGATGTTGGTCAAGCAGCACAAAGTTTCAGTTATGCAAGATGAGTAAGTTCTGAAGATCTAATATATGACAGCGTGACCACAGTTAACAATACTGTATTTTATCATTGAAATTTGCTAAGAGGGTGGATGCTAAGTGTCCTCACCACACAGGATAGTAACTATGTGAGGCGGTGTACCTTGGTTGTGGTGATAATTTCAAAATGTATACATGTATGGAATCTCAGGTTGTACATCTTAAATATATGTACAATTTTAAATTGTTAATTAGACCTCGCTAAAGCTGGGGGGAAAAAGATACTTGACCTGAAACCACAATCCTGTCACTGGCTAGTCCTGTGCCTGGGGTGAGGCCATCTCTCCCTGAGCCTCAATTTTCCCATCTTCAATAAGGAACCCCAGTTTCAATTTCACAGGAGTGCTTTAAGGAGCTAACTCAATGACTGCACAGGGCTTGTCACAGAGAGGGTGTCTGTTGTTGTTCTGAGGCCCAGCTCCATCCCTCAGAGCAAAGCAGAAATACAGTGACTGTCAAATCAGAGTGAGTAGGTGGGAGGGTTGAGAGGTTTGCTGTTAGTCCCCAAGGTCAGAGTGGTCAGCTCATTAGGCAGCCAGGGGCACCCCTCCAGCCCCCTTCACTGGGTCCCAGGTATTCCTAACCTTGAGCATGGCCTCTGATTTTTCCATGTCTTTCTCCATTTTCCTCTTTAAGTTCTTTAACTCCTCCTTCTCCCAGGTCAGCATACTGTCAGCTTTGTCAGGGACCTGGAAAATGAAGAGGGAGACTCACACTCTCAGGAGAGGGCCAGCAGGAGAGCTCTCCTTCCAGGGTGGTAGAGGGTTTGCCAACCTCATAAACTCTGGGTTTGGAGAATGGAGTTGGGGGCACTCCCACCCTGTGGGGATCTTTCTGAGAAATCTTTATCCTTTAAGGGGGCTAGAGAGTGGGGCTGGGGTGTCTCCCTTTTGCAGGGGCTGGAAGTCTGAGGGTCTCAACCTGTAGGCAGGATCTTTATCACCCCATGATAAAGGGAGGGTTTCTCATGAAGGGGAGGGTTTCTCACTGAGGCTGGGGAGAGGTTTTTTGTTTTGTTTTGTTTGCTTTTTAAACATTTTGAGGAGAGTTTCATGGTTTGGGACCAGGACATCGTCCACTCTTCTAAGCATTGTATTTCACTGGATTTGGGCATTGAGATCTCATGACCACAGGAAGGTCTCACCCTGCAAGCCCGGGGGCTGGGTGGGTGATTGTGTTCCTGGGTTGGGGGTTGGAGGTTTCATTCTTGGGAAGAATGTCATCTAGTTTGATTCTGGGGTCTCATCTTCTCTTCCTGGCTGGGGGACTGGGAAACATCCCACCTGGGGTAAGGAGGGTGAGGGTCTGATCCCCATTGCAGGAGTGTGTGGATCTTCCTCCCTGGGTCTGGGGACCAAGGCACCTCATCTTGGGGATGTCCTCATATTCTCGTACTCTTACTCGCTGGAACTGGCGCCTGGGATGGGTGCTCTCTTTCCCGGGCGGGTTTTTTTCCCAGGCTGAGCTAAGGCTTCAGTCTTGGCGACCGGGCTTGGGTGGAGGGGGGATGTCCCACCTTCTCAGACTTGGGCCGGTAGCCCCGCAGCCTGACGCTCTGCTGGTTGATTAGCAGGCCCTTGCGCACCTCGCTGAGCCTGTGGTCAGTAGCCTCTCGCTGGCGGAGCAGCAGCCGCAGTTGCCCATTGATCTGCTGCTGCGCGCGACCCAGGCGGGCGGCGGTGACGCGCGCTCCCCGCGCGTGCGCCTGCACCAGGTCCGCGGTCTGCAGGGCGTGCGCGTCGCGGTTCAGGGGCAGCGGCAGGCGTGCGCCCCAGGCGGG